TTATACCTTAATTTTTGCAGTAATATTTAATTAAAGTAATTCAATGATTTTATGGATATTATTACTGCAGAAATTATAGTTATCAGATAATAGATCTTAATCCGTAACTTATTACAATAAATTTGGTATTTACAGAAAAAGGTACGGGCACCCTGAGTGCCTGTGATTTTTACCGTAATTTGATATGGAATTTTTTGCAGTGACTGCCAAATATACTAAATACTCGCATTTATTTCAATTATTTTAATTCAAAATGTTAGTTTCGTCCGCTACAAGAATATTTATAATATTATATTAACCAATATACAAATTTATTTTTAACCATTATAAAAAGGCAAATCTAAATGTAAACAGAGATTTAGATCATTTGATTAAAAAAGACTTCTGTCAGAAAAAATTAAGAGATAACTAGCTGATAAACTCTGAACATGAGGTAATAGTTAAGGAGAGCGAATTTGGAATAAAGAAAGAAAGGCGAGGAAACTGATTAAAACTGGAGCTTTTAATACGAGGAATGTTTTTTCAGTAAGGGCGGTTTGAAAATAAAAACTAAACGGAAGCAAATTTTCAAGAAGCAAATTTATTTTCAGATTCTACATACGGTTATCCTTTTTCTCAGCATAGTTGCCATGTTTGTTTAAACACTTATCATACCTACAACTAAATTTAGAATACCCTCTTCATACAAAATTGCCGTCTGCTCCGTTAACCAAAAGGTCAGGGGCTTTTTCTCGTATTCGTCATCGTGGTAGTGATTGCCGAAAAATAGATGTTTGAAACATCGGAAAGGCTGAAAGTGATTCAGCGCAAGGTCTGGGTTGTTCGGAGGGGTGGTCAAAACTTCCCAACCAAAAGACTATAATATAGTTGGCATCTGAGGTACGGACAGTGATTCTGTCATAGAGTAGCCGAATTCCCAGTCAGCATGGCAGGGAATTTTTGTACTTCACATATCGTAACTACAAATCTACCAGTGAATGTAGGCAGCAAACAGGTTTTTCGCCGACTAAAAACACATCACTGACGTATCTAGTGAGCGGCGGTTGCTAAATTTGAACATTTTAAAAACACAGAACTGATAGTATAATTTACTTACACAGCTGCAACTGAGCTCGGTAGTTTCCAATGAATTCCGGAACGCGACGCAACACTAGCTGCGACTCATGCGTCGCCTATTAGTGTATGCAACAAATCGGCCCTAACTTAAAAAACAACCCTCGAAATCAAAAGGAATTGTTAATATTGTATTAAATAAACAAAAATGAGTATATACATGATTCAAGGCAAATTGTAAAAATGAGGATTATCAGTTATAACGATGATTCTTTCGCTATAAAATCCACTCACTTTATTTTTAAAAAAAATCCAGCAAACTCACGTCTTTGTGGGAAACAATAAATATTAACTTCATTTTGAATTAATACTGATAGCTGCGAAAACCTGACTCGCCTTACTTCCACCTTACATCATTCAAAATTTTGTTTATCTGCCTCACATTACTTTCAAATTTTACCGATTCGTTTTAAAGAATATCTTCTTATAAACAATGAACCTGATCTGTATCTAGCAGCATCTGATTTTCAATTACGTATATTGTCCGTCCTTCATTACAATTATTAGTTTTTCAGCGGGAATGTCAGCGATTTTATTTATATTATTTTGAAATCAGTTTTAAAAATAATCTCGTATGACTACTATATTGTGTCTGTTTTTTTTAAACGAAACATGTTTAAATTTAGTTAAATTACCTTTAAGTTAGTCACAATATGAATTTATCTTCTATAGTTGAAGTTCAGATTTTTTAAATGTTTATCTTCAAAATATAAGCAATATTTCAGACTTTATGAAAAGTATGCCTACTGAAAGATGTTTGCCAGTTTTGAACGAAATGATACTTACTTGTTTCTTTTATTACGAGTATAGTGACTTTGATCTTTCTCAATTTCGTTCTATATTGAAAAATGTCGTGAAATATAGTAAAGTTTCGGTCTATATTAAAAGTTCTTAAAAATTAAAAAGTAAATTTATTAAAGTTGAAGAAAAACAGATTTTTTACAAGGGACCGTTGTTAATTATTACTTTTTTTCGAAATTCTTATTTACTTTTTAGTTATTTTAAAAACCCGATTAATGGAGCAATATAGATTATTTAGCCGGGTGAGAAAAGTTAATGCTTCTTAAGTATTTTAAATTGTTTTATTTTATTCATTATTTTACCTGTAGACGCAGACTGAACATCTTTTTACTTAAATACTTAATACAAGTAAATATAATTTTTAAAAATTAAATGCAATTTAAGGTGTAACTATAATATGTGAAGTTTAAAAATTGTAAAATAGTAATTAAATGTCTTAACCTTACAATTTTTCTTAATAAGATAATACCACGTGATTATTTTAAAAGAACATATTTTCAGATTTCGCCTTCATATTTGAATTATAATTAAATTCAAAGAGTAATAGTAATGAATATGTAAATACCATTAAATAAGGGGAAAGAAAATTAAGAATATACAAAAACAATAAAATAGGATAGTGAGAGAAACAATACCACTTTTGGAAAATTAGCCTTTAGTAAGAGCTCATTTTACTGACAGTAGTTACGATTACTAAAGCTGCATTTCAGTATTGATCTTTAGCAGGAGTAGAATGATATCCATCGAAGCCCAAAAAAATTGCAAAATATCAATTTTATAAATGTATTAATAGTTTATGCTTATAAGTAGGTCGAAAATTATCATTTATTGACTGTATTTTTTACATATTTTTCAGAAGTATTTTTAAAATATATCAACGTGAACACAGTTCATGAGTTTGTGCATTTTGACAAAATTGGTTCTAGCTTTTTCAATTCCTTTGTCCTATCAAATTTCACTTTCATGTCCAAATTTATAATAGATTTTTCATTTATTTTTATTTGAATTTGTTACAGGAATTTGATTTTTTACTTTATTTGATTCAATATTACTTATAAAACCAATGTACACTACTCCAGAGACATAGATTGAAATGACATGCTCTAAAATAAAATTTTATCTATGTTTTCCTTATCAACTCATCACTTAAAAATGTCTTGATTTGCCTTGATTCTTATCAATGTCTGAGAAATCTCTAAATCTTCCAATTCTGAACCACAAAGAGTTTCTAAGCAGGCTTTTTGTATTGTTATGTATCTTTCATGCATGGTACTATGAGCAAAGCAAAATTTGCAAATGAGAAAAATGAAGAGAATGCCTACTTTTCTTTACTCAATTGGTAACAACAAACGTATCTTAGTAAATATATTAATCACAGAAATGAGGGAAGAAAAGCTATCAATCGCAAGAAGCTATTCAATAAAATTGTTGGGAGCTCATTGGAAAATTTCTTTGATGTTCAATTTCTATCATTGAAAAATAACGTAAAAAAAAGTATAAGCCCCCTGTTTGAGAGTCATGACTTTTTCAGAAAGAATTTATTCCTCTTTAGTAAGAATTACAACAAAAGAGAAAAGTATTGATAATAAATGAATGCATGTGTAGCATTTGCGTAGCGATAACCTTTGTCGCTAGTTCCTTCATATTCAACAGAAATTCCCCCTTTTTTATTTCAACCGAAATAACTGTCATTATAGCAATTGAATGGCATGCATACACATAACTCTATGAATCATATGAAAACTAAAAATAGAACTCTTAAAATGACATTTTTTTGAAACTGAAACAGTTGGCTTAAAACTAATATTTCAATTTCAAAATTAAATTTTGAATTTGATGCATACGACATGAACATATTACCTTTTTAAAAATTCGTAAATATTGTAGTCGTCTAACAAAAATTGGATTTTTGGTGAATTGTATTACAAACGAGAGAAAAGTTAGCAAATTATATCAAATTTTTAAAAATCTTGAAAAAAAACTAAATAACCATAGAAACGGAATCAAACTGAAAGAAAATAAAATGATTTATGATGTAATTTTTTTATTTATGAAAAAATATAATTCAGACTTTAATTTCTTGTTAAATTAAAACTCAAAATACAAGTTTCATTTTTGAGTTAGAGGCATGTAAACAGTTAATAAGAAAATCATATAATTTTCTTGTCCAATGAGAAAGCACAATCGATGGAAATTATTCGTTTTTGGTAGATACTGGCACAATTATCATCAATAAGATGCTAAACTATTTATTAATTTTGAATAATTTGTAGTTTTTCCTATTATCAATATCTGAATTACCACGTTAATAGAAAAGTATTATTTAATAATCCATTCATTAAATCGAGAAATACCTTCAATTGTCAGTTAAAAAATCTAACTTTTTCATAGATTATTAAATATTATTTTTTAGTAACTTTATGTTATAAAGAATTATTTTTTTTTATTTGTATTAAATACGTTATTCTTAGAACGTTTCAAACTGGAACAAATTCTTTTTTTTCTTAAGATTTTATGTGTTAACAGTTTCGATTCTCTGACCCGGCATGCTTTCAATCCTTCCGGATTCCTTCAAGTTTATCTTGTTTTAAAGAGCTTTTTAAATATAGTCTTTAAAATATATTTTGATTACCCATACATGGGATAAAAAAAAGTTTTCTGAATAATTAAATTTTTTGTGAGAAAATTAGTATTTCTGAGGAATTAAGGAATATCTTCTAAATGTGGTTGATTAGTAACTGAGAAAACTAAAAGCAATAATCCTAATATGCAAAAAGGTTTTCTTTCTTTTTCTCAAAAGGTAGATATATTTTTTTTTCTCAAAAAATACATTAAAAAGACTTTTTCCTCTTTTAAAAATCTAAAAGAATTTTTTCCTCTCTTATTCAGAAATGTTCCATTTTGCTAATAAACTCTCTCAGAATATTATTAATCTTTTTTTTTTTTCTTGTATAAATTCCGAAAATGCCTTTTTTATTCAAAGTGTGACAAATACATATACCCCTCAAGTTCTAAAATAAAAGTCTCTATTAAAATGCTACTTTTTATATATTCATGTAACAGATAATTTTTCAACTGATACTCACCAGTTACCAGAGTAACTGCCCAAGCAAATACAATGATAGCGGAGATCATTTTATAATTTAAATAAATATCCCAAGTGAAATATCGTGCTCACAATATTCCTTCAACTGCCATAAAAAGTTACGTCACTCTGCCTGTATCACCGATGTCTGCGCAACTCGTTTTGAGAACTGTCATCGCGAGAAAATATACTCTAACGTCCTAGACTTCTTTCATTTTTAAGATGCGAGAAGGAGAAAACCGTCTCACAGGCGTTCGCTATCGAGAAAGTAGGAACGAAGAACTGGTGGGGCAAAAGCCTGCCTGTTGCAAGTGGAAAGAGATGTCATACAGCGCCCTCTGCCTGTCCTGTCTGGGTGCGTTTTAGATGCATCTCCCGCCTTCGGCTGACACGTTTCTCTGTCAAATTACTGTAAGTGAGAAAAAGAGCGAAGAAAATGACATCTTCCTAACAGCGGCCGGAAAACTCTTTAGTAGGAGAGTACAAGAAAATAGAAAGGCAAAACGTGTTTGTGTTAGTTCAAAATTTGAATGGAAGCTATTATAGGTGAAGAGTAAAACATTTGCTATATCTATATTATTGAAAGATTTATTTAAAAACGAAAGTCAAGAAGAAGGCAGTATTAAAATAAATGTTTTTCTCCCTGGTGAACTGAGAAATTATTCATTCAATTACATGGATCTTTTTTTAATTAAAAAAACTTTAAAACAAATAATTATCACCAAAATTCCATGACGATTAAAGAGCCATTCAAAATGTTTGTGCATTCGAAGAAAAGAATAATAATAATATATTTAGAAAACTGCATCAAAATCCCTTGTGTTTCAAATAATAGTATTTTATCAATATTGCCCATTTTGAAAATGGGCGTAATTCTCAACTAGATCAACAACAAAATCATAATCACAAATAAAGAGTTGTAAGTGTGAGAATTAAAATGTAGTGTAATGAGATCAAACTAAAAAAAAAGCAGACAAGAATTTTGGAATTTCTTGGAGTTGATTGTTTCTTATACAGAGTTTTTTTTATATGTTTCATAGTACAATGCTAATGTGGGATAACAATAACCCAATAGGTTCAAAGGGTCACAAAGTGTGAGGTTTGAACAGATTGGATAATTTGGTATCACCGAATTTGGAAAAGGGTCGAAACTAAAAATAAATTAAAGATTAAAGATGAAAACGATAAAGTCATGCTATATCCAAACAATATATATGATTTAATACAGTAAGCTGATGTTTCCAATAAGAAAAACTAATAAATTCACATTTATGCATGACCATAACAATAATTGAAAGGTACTCACCCTGCACACACAGGACATTTTAAAAGACAACCATCAAAAGAAACACACATTTTTAACTTGCGTTTAAGATTTATTTAAGAAAAATATCTATCAACATAACTAGTGGAAAGACTTTTTTAAAACAATTTTTAACATTAGGAACACCTTTAATAGAAATGGGTGACGAATGAAATTAAAACACAGAAGGCGTCATAGATAAAAGTAAATTATAAAAGAACGAGTAATTTTAAGGTTAAAATAAATATGGAAAGAAAGCTTAAATTCGAGAAGGTTTTTTTTTAATGTTAAAGAAAATTAAAGGTATAAAATGTTGATTTTAAATTTACAGAAATTGATTGCAGCTATGGATTTAATTTAAAATAAAGGTTAAGAAAAAAAAATGTAAAAAGAAATCCCTCGATACGGACCGAAGTCCGCATCGCGGAGAATTTACAAAAGGGTAACCTGCCCGAAGGCTGGAGAAAAAGAGAATGTATTAAAAAAGACATAAAAATTCCTTAACTGGTATAGGACCAGAAAAATTACTGCCAATTAAAATTAAAGAGGCGGAGAGTTTGAAATTTAAAGGAAAGAGATTGGTTAATTAGCCCCCTAAAATTAAAAGAAGAAAAAGAAAGGCGTGAATAGAGGGGTTGGTTGACTTCCCCCCCAGGAAGTGCGATGACCGCATTGACCACGAGAAAGGTCACCAAGAAAGTTAAAATTGCTAAATTGAAAAAAGGAATAACGTTTAAAGAAAATTTAAAGGGTTAGGTATAATTAGAAATAAAATTGTCACGTTACATTAAGTGCAAATGTGACGTAGAGTATATTTTTAAGTGCCTTTTACTGAAAGATTGTTTATTTAGAAATACAGAATTGTTAAAAATAAAAATTCGCACTTGCATTTTACATTTCAAGAAGCACCAAGGATTTAAAGTGAAGTCATCAATAAAATATTTTGCGTTGTTCTCTGAAGGGCAGTCTCAATAATTCCCATTTCTGAATAAAAGAAAACAGCGTTGGCCATTTAGTTCAGACACTTAATTTTTTTTCCACCATATGTATTGAAATGTGAAAATTCAATAATTTGAAATTTGAATACTTAAAAAGCTGGAACAAAACTACCGTGTCAGAATTCACTTTGCATAAAAAAATGAGTTTAAAAAACATTAAAATCGTCATTTTATGTTTGCGTCGAAAATATCTAAAATAAATTGTAGTTCAGAAGAAAATTTAATCTAGTAATATACATATATATTTTGAATAATGATTTAACACTTTCGTACTCTTATTTTTTTTTCTCTAGCGCAATCTTAATGAAATTTTTCTAAGAAGTAAAATCTGAATTTAGGAAGGATGATGGGATTTGTTACTTCCAATCATCCGCTCCAATATTACTTAGAAAAACAATATTCTACAGGCATCGAATTGAATAAAATGCTCTAAATTATTTTCATTTATAATTTCCATATAAAGAAAAAAAAAACTCCTGGTTCATCAGTATCTAACTCAGCGATTCTTAACCTTTTTCTTGGGGCGGTACACTTTGAACGATTTTGAAATTTGACGAGTACACTGTGTTAAATAGTTTGTGATAATAATTTTGAATGTGAAATAAAATATTATGTACGATAAAAGCACGTTTTTTAAGGGAATAATTATTTCTTTCGATTAATTTTTAATTAGTTAGTAACAGTTATTTTTGTTTTGCTAGTTTTTAATTGTTAGCTTGCTTTCTATAGCTATTAACTGTTATTTTTTGTGATTTCTTGTTAACTAGTATTTTTTCTGATTATTAATTGTTAGCTTATTTTTTTGTTAGCTATCCTTTGTTGATTTGTTCTTATAACTATTAATTGCATCGCTTTCTTTAATGATAAGCTTTCATTTTCGTTTGAAAGTTATAATTTAGCTGGCTTTCCTTAGTTAATTAATAATTTTAATAGTCATTAAATTTTCAACTTATTTCACCATTTTTTAAAATTGTCAAACACAATTTAAACACTTCATTCTAATTTTGACTTAAGATTATACTATAGTATAAAAATTGGCGTTTATTTGTAGAATTGCTCATATGAGCAATTCTACAAATAAACGCAAATCAGGCGGCCAAACAAAACTTTTTTTGGGGGGGGGTGTTATATAATGTATGATATTATGTATATAATAGTATATGTATATACACTTTTCTTTAATTTAAACTTTGCTCATAATAAAAAAAAGCATTATAATTTTTATTGTATCATTTCTAATACTTATCGGCGCATTTTAAGAATTTGGCGGCACACAGAAGTGCCGCGGCACAGTGGTTGAGAATCACTGCTCTAACTAAAAATTATCTAAATTTTCAAAATTTGAATGGAGAAATGTTTCTAAGAAGTCTATGGCTTGTATCGTTAGGCATTTTTTAAACATGGTGCTAAGGGCAAACAAAATTTGTAAATGAGGCAAATTAAAAAAGGGAGCACTTTTCTTTAGTTCATTCAGCAAAATTTGTCGCTGAAATATTATAAGTCACAACTATCAGAAAAGAAAAGCTATCAAGAATCTACAAAGTAAGGTGAAACAACGTTAAAGAGCACAAAAAATATCCTTATATTTCCCTCTATCTTTATATTTCTCCTGTTTGGAAATCTATGATTAAACCTAACTAACCCCCCCCCCTCGTTTTGTTCCTTGCTTCCTATTCGTCGTCACCCATTCACCCTTCCCTCCTATTGGCCGTTGCTCTAAACCCTCTTGTGCCTTCATCTTTCTATATATATTTACCCTGTTCTCTTATTTCTTTCTGTTGCACTGATGAAGGTTGCCTTTTGAGCATCCGAAACAGCTGTCTGCCTTTTATATTTTTTGTGCTCTTTAACGTTGTTTTACCTTACTTTGTAGTTCAGCACAAAGGTCGCCCTTATGTGTATTTATCAAGAATCTATTCAATACGTATAGGCCTTCAATACATTGAAGACCCCTTCGAAGTTAATTTTCAATTCTGACTTCAAATAACACAAATAAAGTATTATACGCCCTGAAATCCACACCTTATCAAAAATAATTCATTATCAACAGTTAGAATTTCACTAATTGGGTATGAATAAGTGCATACTTTATATTAATTTCTAAGTGTTGTGATAACATCTCTCACTCTATTATCATCCACCTGAAAATTCACGTTTCTAGTCTTCATGGCAAAAATAAATTTAAAATAGACGCATTCACTCCCCTTTTTTTATACGAACATAACTAATTATCTTGAATAAATTTCACAACGCCAATTAAATGAAATGCACTCAACATAACTTAATGAAATCGTTGAGTTCTAAGAATAGAAACTCCAATGTTCTAAAAATTGGTATTGAATCAACAGAAGATAATTTTATATCTTTAAGAGCTTATAAGTATTAAAGTTGTATTATAAAATCTGCATTTTTGGTAAATTATATTACAGGCGAATGAAAAATTTACAAATTGTATCAAATTTCTAAAATTGATAAATTGTACAGCAATTGAACCAAACTAAATACAAAAATACTTCCTCGTGTAAAGTTTAAATGAATGTAAAATAATATTGTTCAGAATTTAATTTCTTATAAAATTCATACTATAATTGTAACATTGTCAGAAAATTAGTTCAGAGGTTAATTTTTATTTAAAAATGATTGAAATACCTTCTTTAAAATTTACTGATTTCGTGCTTCTGAAAATTTACTGATTAAACTGTGATCTTTTAATACATCAAATAAACAGGTAGTTTCACCAATCTTAAAGACCATATGGTTAATATTAATAGTTCGGTCGGACATTTATCAAATTTTGTATCACCGTGATCTTACTTATATTGAACAAACTAAACGCACCCTTAAACTTCAATTTAACATGAAAAATATGTCTAAAATTAGGACATCAACCAATCTTCCATTGCTCTGCATAGTTGGAATTCAAGTCACAGGTTTAATTTACTGCCACTAAAATAATTTAATACTGCTCTTCACCTTCTGAACTCGATTTTTGGGAGTCATTTTACATTTCCATCTATTCTAATGATCTTTCAAGTATCCCACCATTTCCCAATAATTCCAAGTTCATTTTAACATAATGTGTTGTCCCCTGGGGTACCCACCAAATTTCCCCACACCTGTTTCTTATCTCCCCATTGTTATTTCTTTGTTCAAACATCCTCCTTTGCCGCTATTGGCTAAACAACTTTATTGTGCTGCGTTGAGGAGAACTCCTCCAGACTAAAAATCTG